ATATATATATATATATATATATATATTACTATAGAAGCTTTCTACCGTTTTTCATAGAAGACAGCCATTTTTATTAGTATTTCGTATCCACTAAACCCTCTCTCTCTCACACACATATACATAATTACATCCTGTAATCCTAATTTTTTTAACGGATTGAATACACCTTTTTTCAGTTTTTTTATTTTAAAATTCTTATGAAAAAGGAAGAATATTAATATTTGAAAAATACTCTATTGAACGTTTTAACGCTTCTTTTAATTTTGATTAAACTCCGTTAGGCTTCGACGTGTTTAGTGAATATGGGTCCAGAGGATTCACGCGTATTTTAGATAATGTGAATAACTCCAAAGAAACTTTAAGGTTATTTATGAAAAAGTATATAAACAATTTTTCCAAAATAATATCACTAGTTTGTGGAAATTAGGTTCTGTATTGTATTAATTTTATCGTTAACGTCAATAAATATTTCATTTTTGATATTAATTTAAAGACTGTTTAATTATTTTTGGATCTGAAGCGTAAGTAATAACATAACTTGATTTTATATAAATTTTAAACTTAACTTTATTACTTTTCAAAAATGTTTCTTTTATTTTGTGATTTTATAATTTTATATAGAAAAGTAGCCTGTAATGCTACAAACCAATAAGAGTGTAACATTATATATACACGTCTTATCAGTCTTCCCTTAAACTCCCTTAAATTGACTGATTCCACCACATCTGATCGCAACCTATTCCAAAGACCAATTGCCCCGTTAGAAAAATAAACTGCTTTAGCTCAAGAAGAATCTTATTCTGCCAAGATTTATATTTGTGTCCTCTAGTCCAACCATTCTCGCCATTAAATATGAAAAAAATATGATAAATTGGCTTAACAATCTTAAACACCACAATCATGTTATCTCTAAGTCTTCTCTTTCCAAGAGAAAAGAATTTAGAGATCTTAACCCGGCTTCCTATGACAACCATTAATGTGTTTCATATATATTGTTCTAAAGCATTATTGCTTTCCAACTTAGAATTAACGAGAAAATAACCTTATGGTACTAATGTTTCATATATATATATTGTTCTAAAGCATTATTGCTTTCCAACTTAGAATTACTACTTTACCATTTCAGTTTTGTATTTTCTATTGTTAAAAATCATGTTTTACGTACTTATGTAGCATATACTATTATTTACATCTGTTCCTAACGTCGTCGTTTTCTTCTGAAATCTGCTAGACAAAGGCGAAACGTGGATAAAGATAGATCTATTTCAAAGTTGAAATCAGTCATTCTTTGACTTAGAGCTATGTTAACTGTCTCTTTAGCCATACAAAACAACTAAAGGAACTCTCACTTTGTTGTCGGTGTCATTTCTCTTAAGTCAAGTTTTTCGCATTTGTATTTCCCTCTGCCATAAGATCTTGGTATTTGTAGACAGGTTATTTTGTTAATCGAAGACAGTGGAATAATTGTAAGTAAAAAAATGCCTCTGAAAAGCTAAAACAAGAATACATATAACGGCTGGTTCCCCTTATAACATCAGTGGGAACAGCCATTGTGTAGCTTCACCCTTAAAATAAAAGCTAAGAAACATGACGGTTAGTTAGAAGTATTAAATAATATAAATTCAAATATGCGCGTGTGTGTAAAGGTACATATAAATATCAATAAGGGGTCAGTTGGTAATGTATACACATTAAATTGATGTTACTTAAATAGGATACTTGTTTAATCTAACTCAGAGTGCCTAGTTCTAGTAATAGTAACAAGTCATTATCGTTACAGAAAACCAAGTTTGGTAGGCCAAATCGTTACCAGTAATAATTAGGAAGTATTAGATATACCTTTGGGTTCTAAGTTCCAATCAAGTATTGATGTGTTTCAGGTGAAACAAATAATTTAATAATTCATCATTTTTTAGATTCAAGTTTAAATGTATAGTAATTTGTGTATGGTGAGATGATATCGCGTGATGCCAGAATTCACAGGTTTTCGAAATAACGGGAGAAATTGTTGTGACTTTTCTAGTACAGTCACAAACCCAAATGTGTGGATTTCTCTAACCCTCGAAATTTAATGTGACAGATGTCAGAATTTTAAAAACATTTGAGCCCACACATATATGTACTTGTAATATCAGCTTACGACACAAAAGGTACTTTTATAAATAATTAGGGTAGATTAAATACCCAATTTTAAGTGCAAATAACGTACAGTTTTTCATAAAGTCAGAAATTAGTCTTTTTGTCAGTATTAAAAACTTGGAGAATAAAGCAGTACCTGTTATAACGACAAAAAGACTTTGGAATAATGTTATTTTTTGAAATGTAAAGATCTATCCGCAGAGATATGTGCGCTTTTGCATCAGTGCAAGGCGTCGATATACCTTACATTTGAAATAGCAAGTCTAATTATAGAACACATAATAATGAGGAATAAACTATCATTAAGCTGGTATAAAACTGTGCAATGTGGCGGAGACTGGAAGAACATGTCTTCAAAATATTGTACGATTTGAAGAAGTTCTGTGAGTTGGTGTCCACTTCAAGTGTCACCAGTTGCGTTAATGGTGAATAGTTACCAAGTAATTTATATTAATGTCGTGAAATCACCTTCTATAAGGCCTTTTCGT